AAACTGACAGTTTTCTTGCTTCATTTGAATTAATTTCAAGTAGATTACTCAATTTTCAAAATTCTGAAATTTTAATGATCTGGAATTCAAAGACTTTGTGTGTATAATATCCTCTTATGATCTTTCAAAATGAAGAGAGTATAAATTGTTATCAATGTGTAATGTTCGTCAATTCAGGTTTCACAGGGGTGTTTTCAAGCCGAGGAATTTGGAGCACGCAGACATTTCAGGGTATGACCATTTGTACAACATTCTTCTCTATGCACCTCTGATGACTTTGAGTATAGATGGGAATCACTGTAGACGGAAAACCAGTCTCAATGACATATAGCCAAAAGGAAGACAAGGATGTTCACTCCAGCACTTTCCATTTAGAGGGAAAAAGAGGTGGAAGGATATGCCAAGGTCATGCTGCATTTACTGGGAGTAAGATCCCAGGTTTCCAGGTTCCAGTGAAACTCAGTATCACAGCCCTCTTCCTACAACAGTTGTTCAGTTTTTGTAATTCCTTTCAGGTCTGGTTACTAGAGATGTTTATGTGCTTTTCATTCTCAGGTCTTTGGAAATTATTTTCTTGACATAAGAAATAATGCCTGGGATATAGAATATACTCTGTAAATACTGGCTATATAAATGGATGAACAAAATACAGAGTTGAAACTCTTTAATAGAAGCCCGAGATTTGGGTAAAAATGAGACAAGGGACTATTATTGCACAGAGGACTAGAAAAACTATTCGGGTTGATTCTTGTAAAATCTCCCTAAGATTGATCAACTAATGACACAATCTGCATCACATGTCTAATTGGTGGAGCCAATTCGGTCTCTGGTACCTGTTTTATTAAATGTACGAAGAGGTAAAATGTGGCAGTTAGTCATGATGATGCTATCTCGGTTTGGTGGAGGAAGTAGATAAAAACAGGAGTTAACATGCCAATACTTAATACAACTGGGACAACATAAACGACCATAATGATGAATGCCAGGTAAGTGTCAATGATTGGGAATGATATTCATGACATCCTACTCTTATGTACCATAGGCTGGATGTGGAAATAATTAAAGTGTTCTAGGTATTTGAGGGTGTTTCTTAATTCATTGAATCCTCACAAGCATCCTGAAAGGTAGTCATTATTAATCCCACTTCAGAGATGAGGCTTAGGGAGGGTGAGTGTGACATCAGGTTATAGAGCATGTATCAGACAGAGCTTGGGAACTTACTGAAGCCTTCCTTCTCTAAAATCTGTACTTTTTCCAGGTTATATGAATCCTGAGTCCTGCAATGAGATTGTGGACCCAGTGTTTTGTCAAATGAAATACTTAACAGAAGGTGAGTCTCCTTCTGCACATAAAGTACAACACCATTGACCTCAGAGCTGAAGGCACAGTAGAGACACTGAGGATGAAGATGATAAGAGAGTAGAAATCACCTGGGGAACAGACTACAGGTGGCTTGGTCTTGCAGAGGGCATGGAGACTAGCATTCTAAATGCAGATGATGACGCTTTCCAGGCAGGAAATGAGGGCAGCAAGTAGGAGGCTCATGTCCTGACATCCGTGGGTATTCTCACCAGGCTAAAAGATCATATGGTTTTATTACTTAGGGATTTGTTTTTCTGATCATAAAGTGGACTTCCTCTGATAAAAATTTGATTCATCTTGGTAAGATCTGCCACACTTTACTCTTAGAAGGGTGAGAGGATCCCAAGATCTTATTTAGAATTTAGTAAGAAATATGTAATCTGTCCAATAAAGTTATCTTAATTCACGCTCTCATGTTTAAATGAGGGTTTAAAAATAAATAAGATCCTTTGACAGAGTAACTAAATCCATAGGGGTTTTCAACCTGAACTTTGCTAAGCATGTGATGGAAATGATCTTCCTTCCTGAATTCTAATAGAAGCATCCTGGTATCTTGCATTGTCAAATGTTTCTAAAACATTTTGAAGTTATTCTGTATAGTACTACCTATTACAAGAGTGGAGAAAGATCCAAATGCTCAACAGCAGGCAAATGATAAAATAAATCAGGCATTCTCATGAAGTGAATCAAATATAACTTTGAAGATTATATAGAGTGAAAAATATTTGTGAGTGGAATTCAAAATAGTATGCATACTAAGATGATAACAATGTAAAATATGGATGAATGGGGAAAATAATATGCAAAAATGAAGAGTTATGTTGTGTGTTTATGACCTATTACTTTTAAAAATGAACATTTAAAAAATAGGATATATTGAAAAATATTGAAAAAGTGGTTTAAAAGAAGAATCATAATTCAAAAGTATTGGCAGTTGGTAACACATACACACATAGACATATTTATATGTATATCGGAGTTTTTTAAAAGGTAAGTGACAAAAAGTGAATCATTCAGAGAGTTAAATTTGGTTTTATGTTTTCTGTTTATGTCATAAAAAGTATTTATGCATTGACAGATTGGAAGGTGTTTAATATGACATGAATTGTTTTTTTGTCTTTTAGTGTTCCTAAATGTGAACTGAGCTAATGAAATATACACCTTATTAATAAAATTTCATAGAAAGTCTGGAAAGTAAAAGTTTAAAAGTAAAAATCATCTACCATTATTCCATGACCCAGAGTTATACCCATTAATGATATTTTGACCTTTTCCTTCTATAATATTTTCTGCACATAGCTGTATTTTTTAACCAAAAGTAGGAACATACTGAATAACAGATTACCATCCTATTTTATTTCATTTAATAATACCCCCTAAAAGATTTTTTTCATGCCTTAATTATTCTTGGAAACATAGTTTGAATGGTTGGTTATTAAATCTATAATTTATTTAGATATACTATTCTTCCCTATTACAAATAATGCTGAATTGCATATCCTTGTATATGAATCTACCTGATTCTTTTTAAAAGTCCTATTAAAAGACATATTAAAGGTTTATTAAGGCCTAATTCACATAAAGTAAAATTCACTTGATTAAGGTTTATAATTATGGATTTTGATATACAGTTTGGCAACCACAACATCAGGTGGGAGAAAGATCGCTCAATGTCTACATTTCAGCTTTGGCTATGTGAGAGTGAATTTTTTTTTTTTTTTAAGATTTTATTTATTCATTTGAGAGAGAGACAGAAGAAGAGAGCACAGCTGGGGGGTAGAGCAGAGGGAGAAGAAGAAGCATGTTCCCTGCTGAGCAAGAAGCCAGTGAAGGGCTTGATGTCCTGGGATCATGACCTGAGCCGAAGGCAGATGCTTAACCCATTGACCCACCCAGGTGCCCCAGTGAGAGTGAATATTAAAACTATGGGGTAGGAGGAGAGGGTTTTTTGTTTTCTCTTTTTCCATACTAATCTCAACCCATGCATTTGATCAGTATTTCACATCTCTCTCTCTCTCTCTCTCTCTCTCTCTCACACACACACACACACACACACACACACACACACACACACACCCTCTTTTGCCTTTTACTTTTTACCCCATACTTCTGTCAGCCAGTCAGCTCAGGAAAATCACTACTGCCATCTTCAATCCATCCACAAGTCAAAAAATGACCCACCTAAGATATGGGCAATGCTATGCTATACCTAGCTGTATAAGCGAAGACAGTCAAGAGTTGTGATGCAGTCTTACCTAGTAAATAACCAATACTAATAACCCACAATTTCCACAACAGAGTCTGCATACTTCCCTTATAAACTCTGATTTTTTTTCTCGGATGTTAGTCTTCAAGGTGATTTTACATGTGTGCACACATATCTATGAGTACACATACACACACGTACAGCCTAACCCCCCAAGTTGAGGATCATTCATGATGAGAGGTGATTTAGGTATAACCAAAGAAAAAAGAGCTATGGTTTTGGTAGAGAAAAACATCTGTGAATGCAAATAGGGGGATTAGATTGTTTAGAAATAGAATTACGGTCAGGTCTTACCTCTCTATTCCTTAGGATGAAGATCACTGGTAAGCTGAAAATTTGATCAGTTTGGTCAATCACTATCGCAACTGAGGCACAATCACTATGCCTCAGAACAAGTGTGTCTTTCCTCATTCCACATGTGGGGTTTTCTTTCAAATGTCCCATGCTAAGAAGAGGCCGTGGCCCATTCCCTGTTTGTCTATACTGACCCTGAAATCCCTTTCTCACCCAATCCTGCTTTACTCTGCTTCTGCCAATCAGAAATTCCAAAGCTCTCTACTCCAGGGATGCTGTGAGTTTTAACATACAATAGGGCATGGCTTGGTACACTTCCATTACTCCAGCTCTTATCTCCCCCATTCATCCATCCATCCAGTTATCAGCCAACAAGTGCTTCCTGAGCACCTACTCACCTGTTCCATGTTCAGCACTGTGTGAGATACTGGAGTACACTGTGAACAGAACAGACTGGGCAATGCTCCTACAGAACTTCCATGTAGCCTGTCTCTATACCCATCACCTGTCTCCCTCATTCTCCAACATCAGGTCTTTTACCTGCAGACGTAAAATCCTCCCCTAACTCCTAGATTTAGCACAAACAACTCATGCCATCTTTTCTTCTATATCACCTTCTGAATCCTCTAGTTCTTATTTCCATCCCAATCCCATCTGGCTAGACATTTCAAAGCCTTTTCCACAGCTCTTTAGACTTTGTCTTATGGGGCCCCTTTATGTTTGTTTTCGTTTTCCTCACATTTCATTTCAAAGCAACCTTCTGCTGTGACCCTTCCTGGAATAGCAACACCAGCTCTGGGATTCAGCAATATATTTTAAGCTAGACGCTGGGGAACATAAAGGTCACTAAGAAGTTTCTCTGCTCAAAGAGCTAAGTGGTCTGGTCTGGGGAGGCAGTAGCAATGGGGACCTTAATTGATTCAGGGTGATCTGTTTGATTAAGGGTAACTCTGCTTGATTTAGGGGGAATCCACGCCTAAGTGCCAAGGGCTCGTCTGTTAGCTTGGGAGCAACCTAAAGACAAGAACCGTGTCTTTTTTAATGTGGGACCAAATCCCCACTGGGGCAGAGCACTCACCTAACTAAGACTGGGATCTTGGGCATCTTCTTGGAGACTTTAAAGAAACTTGTGTCCCCTTTGTTGTCGGTGAAGTACACGCCGGCCACACTGGTCACGAGGTTGCCAGGGAATGTGAAAAGCACCCTTTCGTCGTCGCCCTGGTTGGCCCAGTCCCAGGCCTGGCCTCCAATGAGCAAGCCCCCTCCACGTTTCATAAACTTGACCAATTTTTCCGTCATGGTTTCATTATAGGCATCAATGCAGTAAACCCCGAGGGATTCTTTCACTTCCGGCTCAATCTTCGCCTCCACCCCAGAACCCTCAAGGATTTTGGCCAGAGGTGCCAGGGATGGATGTACACCAATGGGAGCCCCAGGGGAAGAACAGAGCCAACCCACTGCATTGAGGAGAAAGGCAGTGAGCTGGGCTTCTACCAAGTAGTCCTCATGGGATACCACCACCAGGCGACCTCGGCCATAGGAAGAGGCAGCAATGAGGACCTGGCCCATGTCATTCACCATCACTGGGAAGGAGGCCTCTCCAATTAGAAGCAATTCACATGGGATGGCATCTTCAGGGACATCCCAGCTTGTCACTCCATTCATAAGGGCCTCAAAGGCAGCAGAGGGAGTCGCCATGGCTGGCTCGACTTCTGTAAGAGGAAAGCAAAGACTCAGTTTGGTAAAGAATAGATAAACAAATAAACAAAGGAGCCAAACGGTTCACTCCTCCCCTAGCAGGGGCAATTATTCCTGCGACGCAAATGAGAAAGACTCTGTGAACTGACTCAGGGACTCACCAGGGGTGTCAAGGTATCCAACCCAGGAGACCTCATCACACCCTTCCCGGTCCTCCTAAACTCTTGCGACCAAACAGAAAGAGCTTGACACTTTTCCATTGCAGAAGGAAACAAACAGAAGTGGAGAATGTGGGCAGAATTGTGCCCCCAAAGAGTTACCTGTAAATCCACCTCCTAGTACCTGTGAATGCAACCTTATTTGGAAAATAGTGTCCTTGTAGGTAAAATCAAGTTAAGATGAAGTCATACTGGATTTGAATAAGCCCTGATTTAATGACTGGTATCTTTTAAGAAACATCTGGACACAGAGACACACAGGGGAGAACGCTAAGAGAAACTGGAGTGATGCGTCTATATGCCAAGGGAGGCCAGAGGTTGCTGGTGAGCTCCAGAAGCTCTGGAAGAGGCGTAGGACAGATTTTCTTTCAGATTCCAGAAAGAACGCCTTGCTAACACCTGGACTTCAAACTTCTGTGCCCCCACGACTGTGAGAGAAGCATATTTCTGTTTTAAGTCACCTAATTTGTGGTGATGTGTTACAGCAGCCACCAGAAACTAACACAGTGGTGCCTCATGCTGCCCCTTGTCCCTCTCAGCAACCACGTTGATCTTATTCATCCCAGCTTATGGAATCCCAGAATATCGGTCTAGAAGGTCTGGGTCCTCATAGGATCTTCTTTGGTCGCAGTCATAGGTTGGGGAAGAGGAAAAAAATAAGTCCTCTGTGGCTTGAATCCAGGTCTCCATCAACCAGGAATTATGGCAGATTCTTCTTCCTTGTACCTTGTACCTGGAGAAAGGTGTGTATGTCTGTGGATGTAACCTCATATAAATCCTCCGCTTCTTCACCATGAGCTCCCTGCTCAGATGCTCAACGTCTGACCTCCACTATGTTCACTTTACTGAAGCAGTTCCCCCAAGAGCAGATGTGTTTTCATAATCGGGACATCTAGTGGTTGGCGTTCTCACTGACCACTCAGTGGCACTGGCTAATACTGCTGTCCTGTTCCCTGAGACTCTCACCACCAGTAACGTTATGGCCAGAGCCAACGTCATCACCTTCAATCTGCTGACCCATTCACTTTCTATCCTTCCCTGACCTCTTCTGAAACTGCAGATATTTCTTGTGTTTTTATCTTTGGTTCTTACCATCTATCTATTTCTCGTCAGAAAATATGTTCATTCCCAAGATAATAGGTAAAGCAGTTACAAGCTTTGGCTCTGGAGGGAGGCTATCTGGGCCTGAATCTTAGCTTTGTTTGCTTACTAACTGTGAGATAGGGCAACACATCTCAGACATCATTTCCTCATTCATTAAGTAGGGAAAAAAGTGTCTAGCACATAAGGTTGTCCCAAGGATTAAAGGAAATAACAGGTTAAATGTCTTTCAATTATTTATTATATATATGAGTTTGTGTGTGTGTGTGTGTGTGTGTGTGTGTGTGTGTGTGTGTGTATTTACGTATAATTATTTGGTAAAAGTAAGCTATTTAATTTGCAAATGTGCATAAGAGAGAATTCTTTTTTTTTTTTTAAGATTATTTTATTTTACAGAGAATGAGCGAGTGAGTGGGGGGAGGGGCAGAGGGAGAGAATCCTCAAGCAGATTCCCAGCTGAATATGAAGCCCAACATGGGGCTCAATCCCATGACCCATGAGATCATGACCTAGAGCCGAAACCAAGAGTCGAACGCTCAACCAACTGAGCCAGCCAGGCGCCCCATAGAGAATTCTTATATAGTGAGCAAAAACCAAACCTAATGTCAGATGTTGTAAATACTGAACTAAACATTTAATGATTCCGATTTTATAGTTTTCACATTTTGGAGCCAATGCTAACAGTAATATTAATTATGATTACATTTAGTTCTCAAGTGTTTCCATGGGTCCTTGAGAAAGTCCTGGGCACAGGTACTGTGCCTTCCTCAGGTACAGACGAAAAGGCCCTGGTTCTGAGGTAATGAATAAACTCAAGATCCCCCTCCCTGACAGAGCACTCTACCACTGCAGTGGTCTCTAAAACTAAAGAAGTCTTAAATTTAGTCTTTTCCTTCCAAACTAGCTCTTCTTAGGCACATTACATGAGCTCAATGTCCCTAGCTGCTACAGAGGGTGACATTTACTTCAGAGAAGTTTTGAGATGATAGAACAGGCGGTTGGTTCACAAGAGCTTGTCCTTTCCCTGCTCTTCCTGGTGTCCACAAATAGCCAGGATAGCAAACTGCACAGAGTCACAGTTGTGCCCTTCTCCCTCCTGTCCCATATCCAGCTGGTCACAGTCCCATCAATGTCATCGTACATGGTTTCCAACCATAGTGCCAGGAACCCAGTTCAGATGCTCAGTAATTCATTCCTTGACTAAACTGACCCAGTTTCTGAGTCACCAGGGCCTGATCTTGCCTCTATTCTTCTAAAGCCACTGATGTATTATTTCCCAGAAGAGAACCCCCTCCCAGAGCTTTGCTTTTCCCCACAGGGTTAAATCTGACACCTTCATCTTGGGGTTTGAGGTCTCCAGGGCTGGCTGCTCCTAACATTTTCCAGCCATGTCTCTGGCTACCTAACCTCTCTGTGCTTCCAGAATACTTGGCATCCCTGGACATGCCCTGCTTTCATTTTAGAGTCTCTTTTCATGCTCTTTCCTTCCTGTTCCCTCTCCCACCTCTTTCTACCTGTTGAAATCCTACCCTTCTAAGAGAAGATATTCATAGAAGAGGAAATTTAAATGGCCAATTAGTCTATGAAAATATGCTCAATTTCACTAGTCAGACAATTGAAAATAGAATGCATGATGTTGCCTCTAAGATTATCAAAAAGGAGGAAGGAGAAGGAGGAAGAGAAGGTGAAGAAGATAAAGGCAGATAATAATGCCCAATGTCCAAAAGGCTAGGAGGATGTGACAACAATTTGCTGGAAGGACCAAGACGCTGAGAGCAATCAACAGTGGGCAGCCCCACTTCAGAGGTGAGATCCTCAGACCAGCAATCCCTCTTCTGATTACCTTTCTTACAGAAACAAGAGCCGCAGGATTGAAGACATATGTACAAGGATGCTTGCTCACTGCCACACAGAACTACAATTGGAGACAGATAAATGCAAACCTAGAAACGGAGATAGGTGACAAGGAAGGTTTTCCAGAACCATCTATGATTTCTGTGGGTGCAACCCTCTAACCCAAAGCCATACCTATCCCACTTCTGCATGCTACCCCACCCCACAGCCTAGTGTTACAACATAAGACCCTGGGCATAGTCCCCAGCCAGCCATGCATACCTACCCCCTAAAGAGCTGCCCATCAGACCCCTCCTCTCCGGGCCCTAGTCACTGCCAGGGCTGGTACTCCAGAAACACTCAGAGCAGAGAACTCACATTTTTTTGTCTCACTAACTGTATTTCAAGCTAGTTCATGGGGGAGCTGTCTGTGGAAAATTGACAAAGGGATGGGAAGATGGCCTGGAGATTTGAAAAGTAGGGCACCAGAATGAAGAGGGCTCTTCCTGTGGAGTTGCCTCCTTCTACCTGCCAGGGTTTGGTGAGGAACATTCAGGCTCCCCTCCTCTTGGCCAGTTTCCCCTGTCCTGCTCCACGAGCGGGACTGCAATGCAGCCTCAGCCTGATACAAACGCTGCATGCGTGGCAAGCCAACATCTGAGAGGGAGAATGTTTGGATAAAGGATGATAATCTGTATCATAGAATATCACATCACTACTACAAAGAATGAGTTAAATCTGTTTTGCATCTATGTAGACAACCCTTGATATACTTTAAGTAGAAACCTCACATCATTGTAATTTTAGGACACAAGTCCATTTTTGTAGGGATAAAGACAGTAATAATAGTACTAGTAATTTTAGTAGGAGTAATCACAATACACTGCTTTCTAGGTCCCAGGTATTATTATAAGTTTCTTTCATAGTATTTACTTCTGACAACAAACCTGTGAGTTTGTACAATCACTATCTATTTTATAGGTGGGCAACAGCAAACAAAACAAAAAATGTGATGGCCAGAGAATGTGTTACTTGCTCAAGTCACACAAGTGTGAGTAGTGGATCCAGGATTCAAACCCCGAAAATCTTGTACTGAGTCCACATGCTTAAGTACCAGAAATATACAAGCCTGTTAAGGACCAGGGTTTTAGGGGTGCCTGGGTGGCTCAGAGGGTTAAGCCTCTGCCTTTGGCTCAGGTTATGATCTCAGGGTCCTGGGATCAAGCCCCACATCTGACTCTCTACTCAGCAGGGAGCCTGCTTCCCCCTCTCTCTGCCTGCCTCTCCGCCTACTTGTGATCTCTCTCTGTGTGTCAAATAAATAAATAAAATCTTAAAAAAAAAAAAAAAAAGGACCTGGATTTTATACACAAGAGAAAAATCTATGGAGGCCATATTTCAACATGCCAACATTAACTGCATTAGGAAGGGAAGAGGTGAACCGTATTCTTTCTCCTTAACCAGGTCTGCATCCTTTGAATTCTTGTATATGTTACTGTTACAGTTAAAAATACCACAGGTAATAGAACTTCAAACAAGCAAGTAAACACACTTTAAATGATGGAGTATATACATTAATGGATTGCTCAACTGATCATATCTCACCTAAAATGCATTTTTTCATCAGTTAAGCATTTATCTACTAAAAAAGTTGATTTCCTTCTCTGTGGGGTCCTTTGAACTTTGCAGCTGGTTCTGTTCCCACTTTAACCAGCTATATCCTTGACTCCAACACTTGACTTTTTAACCGAATGCTTCCTGTTTATGCTGGAATCCCTGTTTGCTACTCCAGCTTGGGGACTTCAGAGGAACAGCCTGAAGTGGGGGTGGGGTGGGGTGGGGAGATCCCTTTTATTT